CCATAGCTCACTCATTAAGTAAAGCTGCCCAGCTGATAATTTTGGCCCAGAAATGGTTAACTTATATTACTAAATGCCAGGCTAAATCCGATGGTTCCGACCCGGAATTTTGGGGATCCCCCTGTATGAGTTCTCGTTCGGTGATAATTGATGTAATTTGATTTGATTGGACGATCAACATCGGAAATTTTCGGCAAATTCGAAAATTCGTGTTAAGACTTATTTATCTCATATACGAGACTACAGGACTAAACATACTCTTTTATTAAGTGTTTCGTTTATTATTTTCACATAATTAGTGTAAATAGTTCGTGTACCCATATATCGAAAAAAGACCCCACTAATATTTTAGACCTAAAATATTTTATTCAACAGTTTTAATTATTTTTAACAACCTAAATTATTTACGATTTAGACAATCTAAAAGAATTATCATTTAAATTTACGCCAACACCAAAATAATTTAGGCTCCCATGTATAACAATGAGTCGAGTGTTGATGAGGAGGTAGATATCGTGGATCGACTGTATGCAAGGTTAGAGGCGACGCATATTGAAGAGGAAGAAAACAAAGAATCAATTACACCTGCAGTCAATGGAATAGCAATTAAACCAAGAAAACCAAATAGACATAAATTACGAAAGGTAGAACCCTTTTGATTTAGTTATTTACTATTGAATTCTGAATAAGAGTTTTTGAATTTAGGAACGCAAAGCAGCTAAGCTTGCTGAGGAACAGAATGAGGCCGCAGAAGAGGCTAAGAACCAAATTAATATGAACGAGATCGAAAGTAACGCAATTACAGAATTAATTAAGCCCATGGGATTAGTTGTAAAGGAGGTGATACAATAAGACATTTATCTTTGATATTAGAATCTGTTGATGAGCGTCTTTCATACGTCATATATTGAAAAACCATGATCATTTATTAGATACCAGCAAATGGTCATTGGTGAGCGTTTGGAATAGCAATAGCATCAATTCGCGCTTAACCAAAATGTTGTGACCTTACTTTTTTTTGTGTATTTAACGATTCAGTCTTTACAATGCCATATCGGACCAGCTGCGATTAAGACATAATGTTTTGGTACGATGTATTTTATATTGCCGTAAAGCGAAAAATCGTAACTCTTCATTTTCGGAAATTTCACTTTACAGGACACAAGTTTACCATCCCTGAAGGATTTAATCATATGATTGTATATGAGTAAAACTGATCCATGCTATTACAATCAGATTACATTTTTAAGCTATCCTGTAATACGAAATTTCCGAAATCAAAATTAGGGGTTTCGTCAACCATTTATTCTCGCTTATGCAATGTTAGGTGAATTATCGAGAAATGAGACATGAAGCTGCAATGTATATGCGGCAACACCCTGATGATTTCCTACCGTTTTTATCAAATACGAAAGATGAGGAAATGTACAGTTTGGGTAAAGTGCATATAAATGGTTATCATTAACCTTTTTGTTAGATAAAATTCTTTCAAATATCAGTTTCTAACTGAATATAATTTCAGAACAATTTCAAAAATATTGTGATGAGTTGGAAAACACTGCGGTGTGGGGTGGGGAACTAGAGGTATGTTGACTGTTCTTATAACAATTGTTTTGTCGTTGAGATCTCTTAGATTATATATCTTCCAATGTAGATAATCGCAATTTCGAGAGTTTACAAGGTCCCTATACATATTGTACAAATGAACTCGCCGATTTTAAAAATGTCTGATGATATATTTCTTGACAAGGACCCGATCTTCTTATCGTATCCTTTTAGTAACTTAAAATTCAATAGAACAACCACTATTATAATTTAACTCATTAACATTAAAATATAAAGATTTCATCGCCACATGTATGGATTGGGTAATCATTATAATTCACTTCGAACAGCGTGATGTAAGGATGTTTTTAACTATTCAATTCCTTATGATTCATTACAAGAGATCATATTCCTTTTTGCTATTTTTCGTAGCTGAAAATTTGAACAGTTGTTATTATATTTTATTAAATAAAAATAAGCACATGTATACCGATTAGAGTTCCGTACCGGATGCAAAATTGTCACCCGGATCAATCTATCAATCTTAGTCAGTGTTGGTCTATGACCTGTCATAGGTCATTTGATCATAACGAAGATTGATATGACTTATGACCTTTTTAATATTGAAGAATCATAGTAAACATTTTTTTTATTAGCATTTAATATGACCATATGATTATGACCAAATAGTCATATGATTATATGAACAAGGTCATACGTATAGGAAAAATGGTATGACATAGTCATCGGCCAACATTGATCTTAGTAGCGTCCCCACAAAAAATTGGTCACCCCAGTAATTTTGACCAGTCAAAATTTAAACGTGATAGTCAAAACAAACTTGTTTTGCTTTCTAATTAAAAAATTATAAATCTAACCATAACCCTAACTATAACGCGGTTTTCTTAGAACAATGTGACGGCTATTAGTAGAATTTCACGAGAAACGTTTTTAATTACCGTACAGCACTGACTAAAGTATCCACCCTATGTGTAATACCCCTTACTATTTATAGAAAGGATCTGTCTAAAATACCCGTTTATTTAATTCTATAATACGTACATTGTTACGTATCAATTATGTTATGCATTTATTACATATTGTAAAAAATTTACTTCACTTATATGTAAAGCTTTTACGAATGTATTTTGAAAATTTTGCCAGTATTTTAAAGAAAATATAGAACTAATTATAAAATAAATAAAAAAACTATTGTAAATTTATGAAACCAGTAACCAATCGTTTTCAACTGTAGTTTTTTCACTATAGATATTATCAAAATCTTCTGTTTCAATCCAAACAGTTTCTTTGTTAGTAAAATCTATTAATTCAATATTATTAACTGATTCAAAATCATTTTTATTTTCTATTTTATATTGCTAATCCATATTAGAATCTTGTTTACTAGAAATTTTATAATAGTTAAATGAGTTTTTAATCAAATCAATATCAACATCATTTCATGTACTTTTTACTCATGTTGTTATCAAAGTATAAGATGGTTGTTTAATTCTTCTAGAAGGTATAAGTTTATGTATTTTATTAGCCATTCATTCAAGATACAGATTATAAAGTTTTGATTTAAATAAATGATTTATCATAACATCTAATGGTTGAAGCTTACTTGTTAAACCATCAAGTATCACTGCAATATCAGTTATATTTTTATTAAAATTTTTTTAACCTGATTAGTAATATAATCTTTGAAAGAATCTAATACTAAGAGTGAATGTTCACATCTATATATATTTGAAGCAAGCTATACATTGTTTGTCCATCAAATTATTTCTTATTCATTACATTATTCTTTTTCATTTACATGAATATGAATGATTTAAGAAAATTGTTGACAAACATATTTTTTTAACTTAAATATACAAGTTGTTGGCAATTTTGTACCATCTGCTAGACAACCTAAGATCATGGTAAAATTTAATTTTTATGCTCAAATGTTCTTATACTAACAGTTTTAACACCATGTTCATCTAGAATAACAGTACTTGACAAGTCAAAAATAACAAGTGTTTCATCCATATTACCAATTAATCTTAATGAGTAATTATTTTCATATTGTTTAAGTGTAATATAACTTAAAAACTGTTGTTGTTTTTCAATTAGATCTTTAAAAAGATGTTGAGCAATATTAGTTCTATATCTGTTTGAAAAATCATAACAAGACATAAATGTATCAAGTCATTTACAAGAAAAGTCAAACTGATTTATATTAAAATACAAAATTTGGAATCTAAATTGTTGAGCAAAACTCTTTGCCTTTTGAGTAACCATTATACAGGTTATCACATTATGTTGGTCTTGAGTTTCTTTTATCCAAACTGCCAAATCTTCTTCAAATTCAGAAAAATTGACTTTTTTTCTGAGATATAATTTTTCAATATATGAAGCAGCCATTATTAGTTGATCTTTAATTTTTCTTCAATCATGAACTTGCTTAGGTTGAATATTAAACTTTCTTGCTGTATCATGTACACTTTTAGATTGCTCAAGGTAATGAATAATCATAAGTTTTTCTTTTGCAAACCATTGATGATAAACATAATATATAAAATATGAATGTTTTACTGATTAATTTATATGAACTATTTTTTATTCATAAAAATGAATTATTAAAAAAACAAGTTTTTTAAATATTTTTATAAATACTTATTATATATAATTAAAATACTTGTGAATATTAAAAATTTGTTTGTATCTTTATTCAATTATATTAAAAAATCTCTTTTATTAAAATATTAGTTACTGTTACAATTATAAAATAATAAAACAAAAGAATATTTATAATCTAAAATATTTTGTTTTTAACTTAACCCATACTTTGTATACTGTTATTAAAAACAAAATAAATCATTTATTATTATAATTAAATAATTTAAAAAAAAAAACAAAAATAAAAAAAATACATGAATACTTATTTTGATAATTTGAAATATTTGTCTTGGTCTAAATTGTTGCTTTGCATACTGTTGCTTATAATAGAATAACTGAATAATAAAACCAAAACATTTTTTATCTATAATTTGGTAGCTTATTAATTAATTGTACTTGTTATATTTTTGATTGGATGGTATTTCAAACAATATAAAATTTTTATGCAGGTACATAGTGCACAGACCAAAATATTCCCCTACATAAAATACCTGTCCTAACTGTATGATTATAAAAAATCCTAAGTACTTTAGTTAGTGCTATACAGTAGGCCTCGAAAGATAGTTTTCTAATAAAAATTTAGAGTTATTCCTAGTTTTTTTTTTGTAAAAAAAACTATTTTGATTTTTATATTACATCTTAATTAAAAATTATCATAAAACCCAATTAATAATGAAATAATTGTATAGTTGTAATGAACATTATATGTATTTACTAATTAATCATATTAGTAAACTCTTGTTTGTTATGCAAATAAATCATTACACTAAATATTGCCTCATTGTGACTACACTACCAATTGAGTTTAAAAAATTGCAATTATCTGATAGATCTAATTAGTATATTAATTTCTTATAATACTTAAAGAAACAAAAGTTAGCTTGCACTAATGTAATGTTTAGATTAGTTAAAATAATTTTAATAAATAATTAGGTCATTAGATTAGATGTAATATTAAAGTTGATTTAGATTTTAATATAGGTGAATTAATTATTAGATATGCATATTTACAAATCTAATTAACAATATTATAATAAATTCTTATATTTATATCTTAATAAAAACTCTCTTCGCTGATCCCAAATTTCCAAACAAGGCTAAAAGCAAAAATATAGAAAAACATAAAAATGGTCTAACAAACTTCACTT